CTTTTAGCATGTCTCTCCCACCCTGGGAGGGTCTTCACAACACCCTTTATTTGGTGCTCTCTTCTCTATCTGAGTTTCCTTCTCACCTAGCACATGTGGCTGGCCTTCAAGTCATGGAGCGAAATTCCTGGTACTAATCTGAGCCCTTCCTGGGTGTTAGTCTCCCGTTTTGTTGCTTTATGTTCCCCAGATGAATGCAATCTTTCTGTGTCTATCCCGCTCTTTCGGACTCATTTCGCTTAACATGATACTTTCCATGTAGTACCACTTGTATGTAAATTTTATAACTTCATCTTTTCTAACAGCTACATAGTACTCCATTGTGTAAATGTACCAAAGTTTCTTTAACCAGTCATCTGTTCTCGGGCACTCAGGTTTTTTCCAGATTCTGGCTATTGTAAAGAGTGCTGCAATGAACAAACAATTGCAGATGTCACTTCGACTATACTTTTTTTGCCTCTCTGGGATATATTCCCAAGAGTGCTATAGCTGGGTCAAATGGGAGATCGAATTCTAATTTTTTGAGAATCGTCCTGCTAAGGTTGTTAGCAATTATTGACCAAAAAAAAAAAAAAGGGCAATTTTCTTTCTTTTTTTTTTTTGGTGGTAGGTGGGGGTTGGGGGCAGAACAAAGCATTGCTCAGGGGCTACTACTGGCTCTGCACTTAGTAATCCCTCCTGACAGTGTTCAGGGGACCATATGGGGTGCTGGGAATTAAACCTGGGTTGGCTGCATGCAAGTCAAATAAAAACCTGCTGTAAAATTGCACCAAAAGCAGCAATTTTCTGACATTGCTATATTTTGCTATTTAAGAAGCAGTTGAGTGGTTGGGAAGTATTCCCCTGCAGTCTTAACAGTGAGGGGAAGAAGAAAGGATGCCCCTAATTCTGATCAGACAAAAGAATAAAGGTCTTTTTATTTCTTTTTGGGTCACACCCAGCAATGCTCCGGGGTTACTCCTGGCTCTGCACTCAGAAGTTATTCCCAGCAGTGCTTGAGTGACCATATGGGGTGCTGGGAATTGAACCCAGGTCGGCTGTGTGCAAGGCAAACACCCTACCTCACTCTAAATACCCCAGGTAGTAACTGTCTGTTGCTCCAGCCCCAAGAAAAAAAGTCTTAACGAGACTTGGTACACGGTTGGACAGTTAGTGACTCCTTGAATGGTACTGAGACAAGTGTGTTCCTTGGATTAACAGCTCCCAAGGTGTTGTCTGAGGGAAACCACTATTACTTGATTTAAACACTTCTACCATTTTGGAGTATCCAGCCTGGCCATACAGGGTATGAGTCCAAGGAAAGCATGTGTGTGGTATGCCTTCCACAACATCTCAGTAGATAAGACTTTGCCTTAAAGCTCCTTGGCATTCATAGTACTTATTCTGATCATTCATGTGAGTTTTATATGGAAAAGAGTGTGTCATTTTTTTCTGTTTCATCTTTTCAGTAACTCAGTCGTTTAGGAATATCCAAAATAAGAACGTTAACCTTTCAGATTGTTTTTTTGGGTTTCCATGTCGTTCATTTCTGCTCTCAGTTTTGTTATTTCCTTCGCCCAAATTTGTTGGTCTTTTTCTAAGATCATGAGCTGTGAGGTCAGGTTATCTATGTAGGCCCTTTCTTCCTTCCTTAGGAATGCTTGCAAAGCTATAAATTCCCCTCTTAACATGGCTTTAGCTACGTCCCATATGTTCTGGTAGCTCGTGTCTTCATTCTCATTTGTTTCCATGTATCTTTTGATTTTGTCCTTGACTTCCTTCCTGACCCACTTGTTCAACGTTGAGTTGTTTAATTTCCAGGTGTTCGATTGTTTCTCGGTGTCTTTGTGTGATTCGCTTCTATCTTCAGCACATCGTGGTCTGAGAAGATTGTTGATACTACTTCTATCTCCCTGATTCATTGAGGTATGTTTTGTGGCCTAGCACGTGGTCTATTTTGGAAAATGTTCTGCTGGAGAAGAATGTGTATTCTTTCCTTTTGGGGTGTAAAGCCATGTATAGGTCTATTTGCCCTCTCCTATTTCTTCCTTTAAAGCCAATGTTCCCTTGCTGATTTTTGTTCTTGTTGATCTATCCAGAGGTGATAAGGCGATGTTGAAGTCTCTGGCTACTATTGTGTTGCTAGCAATGTCCTCCCTAAAATCTGTTAGCAGTTGTCTTAAGTATTTAGCTGTTCCCTCATTAGGTGCATATATATTTAAGAGTGTGATTTCTTCCTGTTGTACATATCCATTGATGAAGAGAAAATAGCCTTCGCTGTTCCTTCTAATCTTTTTCAACCTGAAATTGAGTTGTCAGATACTAGTATGGTCACCCCAGCTTTTTTGAGGGGACTGTTTGCTTGCAGGATTGTTTTCCATCCTTTAACTTTGAGTCTGTGTTCAGAATGTTGGTTTCAGTTTCTGGATCCATTTTGCCACTCTGTGTCTCTTGATTGGTGCATTTAGACCATTGACTTTGGGAGAGATTATTGTCATGGGGTTTTATGCCATCTTTTTGTAGGGGTTCGTTGTGCTTGTAAGTGTTTTCCTTCTTATCTTACGGGAGCCCCTTAAGCCCTTCTTTTTGGTTTGGTTTTGAGTCTATGAAGTTCCTGAGCTGTTATTTATCTATAAAATTGTGTATCATTCTATCAAGTTTGAGAGAGAGTTTAGCTGGATAAAGTATTCTTGGTGAGACGTTCATTTCATTGAGTTTTTCCACTATATCCCACCACTGTCTTCGGGCTTGGAGGGTTTCCTCTGATAGGTCTGCTGTAAATCTAAGGGGTGCTTCTTTGTATGTGATTTCCTCCTTTGGCCTTGCTGCTTGCAGTATTATGTCTCTATCCATGGCATCCATCATTCTGACTATGATATGCCTTCGAATGTTTTTATTTGGGTCTCTTTTAGCTGGCACCCTTCTGGCTCCTTGGATGTGGATATCTGCATTCTTTAACTCTGGGAACTCTTCAGCAATGATTTCTTTCACTGTGGCTTTTTCATTGGGGTTGCCTCCCTGTCCTTCTGGTACTCTGATGATTCTAATGTTGTTCCTCTTGGCATCATCCCCTAAGTCTCTGATTTGCCTTAGATCTATTTTGAGGTCTTTTCTCATTGTTTGTTGTTCCCTGTGTGATTTCTGTTGCTCATCTTCAAGCTCACTGATCCTGTCTTCGGCTGTATTCATCCTACTGCTGAGCGCACCTACTGAGTTTTTAATTTTGTCTACCGAATCCTTTATTTGTGACACTTCTTTTTGTAGCTTTTTTATTTCTGCTCTCATTTCTTCCTGTATTTTTTGACTATCCGTTCCACTATTTCTTTCATTTCTTCCCATAACTTTCTGGATGTCTCCCTTATTGATTCTTTGAGTAGTTCCTTGAAAATCCTCAGCATTTCGTCTAGGAATTCTTTATTGGAGAGAACATATTTGTGGGTAACCCCTGTTGAGGATTTTTTTTGAGGACTCTTTTCTTCGTCCTCTCCTTGTAGTTGAGATTTGTGCTGTTTCTTCATGCTGTTGCGGTTGTCTAGAGGTAAAACCTTGGATTTCACTAGCACTGTTTCCTCTTATCGTGGGAAAGGATTCTGAATAATCGATGGTGGTCACCCTTCTCCCCTTCTAGAATCTGTTCTTTCTCTCAGGCATTATTCTGTGCCTTACGATGGGCATCTAGTGAAGCGCTGGAGGAGGTGCTCTTCTGTATTGGGCTTGTACAGCTTCTTGCTTACTAGTCTTGTTGGAATTGGGGTAGGTCAGTGGATTATTGTAATGTGGTTGAGGCGCCAGGACTGTTTTCCACAGAATTAGGTGGTAAAGGCTGGGATGTGAGTTGAGAGTGTTGGGAGTGGGGAATATAACTATGGCCCATGAGCGGCTGCCTGCCACATGCCCACTTTTGATAAGGCCACACCCCCTACACAGAGGCCACGACCCCAGCCAGTCCTGATACTCATCTACTGACCTGAGCACAAGGGTCTGTGAGGAGGAAAGGTGGGGGCTGGGTGGACACCCGGGCCAGAACTCCATGGAGTGCCCATAGGCCACTGTCTGGGTGTCAGTGAGCGGGATCACAGGGCTGGATGGGACTGGGGGGCGCACAGAAGGATGCACCTGTCTAAACTAAGATCATTAGATAACCACTAACATAGAATGAAGAAAAAAAGAGCACATAGTCATAAGAAATTCTGAGTGCCTATAAATGGTATGTGCAAACATATTTGCACCTTCCAACATCATGTAGTATTTAATATCTAATTTTATGACTTAAAATTCTATATTAAGATCCAGCAGAAATTATAATAGTATTTTGCACTTGAAATAATATTAAGGCAAAAGACATACATGAAGATGTTCGGTATTTTTAGAAAGCATATAATTATACCATTGTTAAAAAAATTAGTGCCCATAATATTTTTATTAAAATAATATATATACATATGCATATATAAATATAGGACCATGATATAAATGTAAAACAATTCTATAACTACTTTAAATCATGTATTTGTGTATGGCTCATAATTAACCTAATTATATTACAAATTCATTCAGGCAACAGCTACAGATAGTCACAAAGATTGATTCTGGCTTTTTGTTTTTGTTATGGGGCCACAAGCAGCTTACTTATTCTTGACTCTGCACTCAGAAATTACTCCTGGCAGTGCTCAGGAGGCTATATGAGATGCCAGAGATTGAACCAGGTAGACTTTGAACAAGGTAAGTGCCCTACCTGCTGTACAATCTCTGCAGCCTCAAGATTCTGGCTTCTTTTGTATCTTTTGTATATATGTGGGTACAAAATATATCCTAAAATTAAATGTAATTTAATATAAATGGAAACCATAATTTAGTAAAAACTGCTTATCAGAATGAATATTAATATATCTATCTTCTTTTAAAGTTTGAGTAATAATTTATGTTTCACATAATTTTACATACAAATGCTTGTACTACCATACCAAAATGATAAAGTGTCACAGATAATATTTTTATTTATTTTACGTATATTTTTAGACCAATTGTAAAAACTTATTTTTTCAAAAATAAGTTCAACAATTTATCCGAACATTGTTACATAAGAAGTTTTAAGAAACTGTAAATAATTCTTAATGCTCTCATTTTGATTCTCCGACTTTTCAAGACTGTGTTTTATTTCTTTCAAGCATACTTCCTGATATTGTGCTTTCTAAAAAAAAGTAAATAAAAAAATAATCAATAATTACACTCAAAGGGTACGATTATAACATAAAGTTCATGCAGGTAATAACAGACAATGAGACATTCATTTTCTTAAAAAAAAGAATAACACTGGATGTGCTCATTAATAACTCAACTTAGAGCTCACCTTCCTTTAAAAATTCAAAACCGGGTGAGAGAGATAGTACAGGGGTTAGTTAAGGTCCTTGCATTATATTTAACAGACCTGGGTTCCATCCGCCACACAACATAAGTTCCCCCTGAGCTCTGCCAGAAGTGATCCTTGAGCACAGAGCAAGGTGTAAGCCATGAGCACTGCCAGGTTTCTCTCTCTCTCTCTCTCTCTCTCTCTCTCTCTCTCTCTCTTTCTCAAACACACACACACACAGACACACGCAAAATTGAGACTAACAAAAACACACATAATGCAAATTTATCTCTACTCTGAAACAGTTAGATCTATATTCTTTTAGCCCTCAGATATTACATATTTAACATGATTTTATCTGAAATCTGAAACTATGAAAATTTGATTACATTAAACATGGTATCTTTCAATGTTAATTTTATTAGTTGTAATAAATTAATGTTAGTTTATTACAATTGTTCATCATTTGAGGAAAAATTAACTTCTTTTAAAAAATATTCAATTTCATATAAATTCTTAAGTAGATGTTTACTAACAATAATTTAGAGTCAAACGTTCAGCTAGAATGTAGGAACCTTGAGAGAAATTCTTTCTTTCCTTACTATCAGGTTTTCAATGACCATAATGTTTTGAGTTCTTCTGAAAATCAGTGATGCCATTCAGAACAGTGGGGGTTAATAGAAATAATATGCTAGGTGAGGCTATACAAAGTCACTGAATAATTATTAGTGAGGCTTGTGGAACATCAGTTTTAATCAAAAACACAGATGGGAAATATTTAGTACACACAATCTTTTAAGTGTACAATGTGAAATGTGTGTGAATTTTAGAGAATTAATAAAACTAGAGCAATGATGGGTTTCAGGAAGGTTATCCAGAAGTGATCACCTAGGACACTGAGGTGTGGGCAAGCTCCCCACCTCCCACAGGTACAATGAGCTGCACTTCAGGAAGCCCGAGATAGAATCGGCTATGAGACAGGCTCTCCAGATGTTATAGTTCACTCAGGTCTAAGACAGATATGTCAAATTTAATACTCAGCTGCCCCCTGGAGAGGACAGAACACACAGACCTGTGTTCTAGCAATGCCAATAGATTCAGAATTCTAGATATTTTACAATAATAAATATTCTTGGTGGGGAGTAGGGGACTATGTGTGGTACAGGTGAATTGGACCCAGGTTGGCTTCATGGAAGGCAAGCTACCTTACCAGCCGGACTAAATCCAAAATCACCAGTTTAATAAAACTACTTATTTTGGAGGTCAAATATTGGGAGATAGCAAAACCCACTTCATCTTCGTCTATCTGTACTACTTTTCCACAGGGTACTATTACAAATAGATAATTATACATATAATCAGAAACTCTGAGGGTGAGTGAAAAAAACAGTTCAGAAACAAAGGGACAGTCTTCGCTAAATCAAGAGTGACAAATGTTTTTTCTGATTCAATTGCAATGGAACTGTGGTGGCAACACAATTTAATTAGTAGTGCATGCCAAAAGTCATTTCACTTTTGAATCTTTTGGGTTTGGGTTTTTAACTTTTTAGACATGAGAATGAAAAAAAATAGACTTATGTAGTTTTTGGCCCTTAGGAAAAAATTATCTTTTATTTTCTATGTCACTATTAACTAGTTTTCAAGCAATTTAATCATGATTATTGCCTTCTTTGACAGTATCATTTATCAGTTGAATATTACATAAATATTTAGGAAAAAATTAGAGGACTAATTAAAAACAGCCAATTTGGTATTCTCATTTCATGGCTGAATAGACCAAAGCAGCTGTCTCATCTGGAGATATAATAATATTGAATATTTAATTAAGCACCAAGATATAATTTTCTATAATGTAACATTCAATATTCCAGGCACACATAAAAATCTAACTAGTGATAAATTGAGCTGCATTTATCTTAAAAACATTATATCAGGAAGAAAATAAGTAGATTATATCTGTAACTCTTAAACAGCTGTCATAAAGAAGCATTATTTACTTATAATATTACCAGCAGAGCAATATTCCTGACTCCTTCAATTTTTAATTTGTTCACTTAACTACACTGCACTGAATGCTAATTTATTTTTAGTGAAGGTCCATTAAGTCACACAAATACTTACACTATTCATATTGTACACAAGTTGATTTTGCTCTTCATTTTTCTTCCTAAGTTCAGTCTCCAGATCTAATATTTTATTTTGCAAAGCCTTCTCTCTGGAAGACATTCTCTCTATTTCTTCAGAAACCTGTAATTTTCAATGAAAGGGTAAAATAAATATATATGCCTGGTTAATGTGTTATTCAAATCCTTGACAATTATACTATTTTTTTCTAAATAGATATGAATTTGATGCTAGACAATTGAATTAAAACATTTTAAAGATGGTCTATCTTGAAGCATGTGTAGTGTATGGCTGTATACTATAACACATGAATTTGAAGTACTTAAGACAGTCTCTATCTTGATCATTTAATTCTACTGAGGTGTACGCATGTAAGCAAAGTTCTTTGCGATATAAGTTTTTATAAAATTAGCTTAACATGAAAGAGGCGTATACATTCTCACCACTCTGCAATTATGTATGTGCTGTCCTAAACACTATATTTTTGTAACACGCTGAGACAAATTGCATGTTTTATAGTATTTATATTCATCATGGTGGTGGGAGCATAGGAGGTTCTCATTCTGACTATATTCTCAATGCTGATTGGATGACTAGAACTGGAAGCAGAAGGAAGAGTGAAGCAAACAAGCACACACACACAACACACACATACACACAGGCAAAAGAATTTGTTTTTTTCTTCACTTCCAAAGTGGTCTGCATTTGAGTTTTCATTATTTTTTGGCATGTTTTATTTTATTTTCATTTGGCTGCCATTCTAGAAGTATTCAGGGCTTACACTTGGTTTTGGACTCAGGAACCTGGTTGGGAATCAGGGGGCTAGATGGAGTTCCAAGGATTAATCCTGGTTCAGCAACATGCAGAGCAAGTTCCCTACCTGTTGTACTATCTCTCCAGCCCCATTCTTGACATGTGCTACCAGAAAGTCTGGCTTAGCTTACTGCTTCTAAGGATTCAGATATGTTGGGGCCTATTTTCAAGAATGCTGGGTTGGAGCAATAAGCATGAGAGAGGAGATAGGAACTCTAGTTTGGGAGTGAAGTGAGGAGCTAGTGGGAAGGACTGTCCTCTAACAGAACTATGATGGCCTAAATTCTGAGCTCTAGGATAAAGTGGTTTACAATGTGATTTCTTCAGAATAAATTCCCAGTGCTACTGTGAGGAATGCTAGCAGGACTCAGGACAAACACCTATGTCCTTTATACTGCATTTCAGTGAGGACAACAGTGAAAGCCCTGAGAGAAAGCAATGGATACATCTTTGAAGACTCAAGATACTTTGGGAAAGAAACTTTAGCATTCCTAGTATTTCTAAAGCCCACTTTGGGCAAATTCATGATAAAGTTATTTATTATCCTCTCAAAGATCAGTGAGATGAGAAATCTGGATTGCATTTCTACTGCTGATATAGAATTTTACTTCTTAGCTTTTAGTCCATTATGTTTTTTCTTTTTTTTGTTTTGTTTTGGGGGTCACAACCGGTAGTTCTCATGGATGTCTCCTGCCTCCACACTCCTGGTAGGACTCAGGTGTCAGGGATCAAATCTGGGTCAGATATGTGCAAAGCAAGTGTTCTAACCACTATACTATTGCCCCAGCCCTCCACTTGTGGTTTCTGTAAGTCAACTTAAGTTGACTTACAAAGTTTCCAAGAGTTAAAAGAAATCATTATATGTATGTGACTCAGGTGATATAAAAACCATATTTCAAGCTTTTCTGATTGGATGTGATGTGTGAAATTGTGATGAAAAGGATTAGGGAACACTATAGGTCAAAGAGTATTTAGGTGGAAAGATCCAGCATTCTGCATGGCATAAATTAAGCTTGAGATGTTGCTATTAAGTGGAAACAACAAGAAAGTACTAGAATATATAAATATAAACTCAAGCAAGGGATGGGAGATAAAGTTCTGAGACATATGGGTGTAGATAACCCCTCTTTAATATCACTCAATCTGATTGAGGAAACTCATCATCCCCATTTTACAAAACTGCAGAGAAATAACTTGCCCTGAGGCAGAAAATACTATGTTCAAGTCAGAATTCAAATCCAGTTTCTACTATTCTCCAAATTTCACCATTTTTCTTCCAGGATTACAGTTTTAAGATATTTGATAAATTTAACTAGAGTTCTTCTGAATCATTTCCTCTTACCAGAAAGTTGAGTTAACCACTCCACATACCAGTCCTTTACTCTATCACAGCACTTAGATGTTAGATGATAATTGTTTGCCCACATGTTATTCCGTTACTGAACCCTAAATTACTGAGACCTGAAGCCAGGTCTTATTCATCTTTTCTTCTGCAGCACTAGCAGAACGCCTGATACACAGTGAGGTATCTATTCAAGGCCAACTAAATGAACTTAACTGTAACTCAATTCTTGCATACTTATGCAACAAAATTTACCAAAGAAAAAGGAGTTGAGCTTTAACAGCTTAGTGACCCTGATCAAATTCAAAATGTTCAATAATTGGTACCTTGGACTTGGGTCTTAAAAAAATGTGGAGGAGGAGACTTCAAATTGTTTTCCATCTCTGCCCTTCCCTGTGCCACATCGTTATTTATCTAGTGGAGTAATTCTGGATCAGTAACATATCTGTTTAGTTCTAAAAAGGAGACGTAGGTAAAGAACAAAAATGTAATTACTCCCTTCACCCTGTCATCAGGATGAAAACAATAACTGTAGGTTTGGCAAGATGAGATAGTCTGTTTAAAAAGACGAATCTTTGGTAAACTAATTAAAAAGTTTCTAAATAAAGGCCATCTGTACCTTTTGTCTCCCTTCTTCTAAAGCAGCTTCCAGTTGTCTGGTCAATGCTGTATATTCTGCAGATTTCTCTTTAAACTTAAGATTGCTATGCTTAAGACATTCTTCTTGGTTTGCCAGCTTCTCTTCAAGCTTCTTATTTTCTTCATCCATCTGTTCTAATTTTCTTATTTTTACAAAAAAACACACATATATATAAATTAGAGCAGGAAGAGATAAATATAACAATTTTAAGTAAATTCAAACTTACTTTTTAAGATTTTCACACTTCAACTGAATAAGATAATTTTCCTCTTCCAGTGAAAGCTCTGTCAAAAGTTTTTTATTTTCATCAACCTGAAAGATTTTTAAAATTGTTTTAATTTCTTTATAATCAACTTTCAAATTGCCTATATACTTTACTACTAAAACAACTATAAAAACATGAAAGATATGGTACAGTGAGACAGCAAGAAATATTACACTGTTAAATTCTGAGTCCTTAAATTCTAAGTAGAGTTTTAAAAATCAAGGTTGTCTAACTAAAATTCATCTTCTGAAAAAAATTTTCAACAATGACAAAACATTTTAAGCAGTGTTAACTAAAAACAATTTTATGAAGTAAATGTAAAGATTAAAGAGAGAATTAATCTCATTGTTAGATACAAATATTTGTATTTCACCTAAATACAGTGTCTGATAGTTGAATGTCTATATAGATGTAACTAAGTAAAAGACTTTTTTGTAAAAAACAAAATAAAATAACTTAAAAACATGTTTGCCAAGAAAGCATTCTTTGCTTTGCCTCAAATCCTATATTTAAGAAATTTAGGTTTAAACATTATTTTTCTAATAATTTAAATTAGCAATTTAGGTTATCCATGTAATTTAACAATTTGTTAAAGAGCTTTCTTCAGCAATTTAGATTCAACAATGTTTTGTTTATTTTTTTTATAAAGGATGCATTTAAAATTAAAAACTAAATTATATTCAATAGGTATAATTTGGCATCATTCCTAAATTTTTTTTTGCAAATAAAGAAAATTGCTGCCATCCTTCAAAATGTATCTTGAAAAAAAAACTGATTAATTATAAGCACAGTTTTAAGAGATGCCCAAGATCACTGTTCTTATGGACTGGAAAAGTGTATGTTAGGGAAGTGAATTGAAAATTATCCAAGTGCTTATTAAAATAAATTTCTATTTTTCTTTTTTAAAATTTTGTGTGTGTGTGTTGTGCAGATCATTGATCTCAGGGCCTCACACATGGAAGGCAAATGCTCTACTGCTGAGCATTGTTACAACTTCTGTCTATTTTGAATTTTCAAGGTAAATCACAATAAATTAGCTTATCCTAATACCTAAGAAATACATCTGTAAGCAAAGAGTTGCTTTCTCTTAAATCATTGCCTTGTCCTCCACTGGTCAAATCACATATTTGTACAAATAAACTAAATCAGAAATTTTAAAAATTCTAAATTCATTTTTATTGAAACACCATGATCTGCAAAGTTATTCGCAATACAATTGTTTTTGGCACACAATGTTCCAAGACTAAACCCACCACCAGTGTGACTTTCCTTCCACCCATGATTCCAGGTTATTCTCCACTCCTATCTGCCCCCTTAGCAGGGACATAAGAAATTGACTTTATATTGCTTGCTCCAATAAAAATTAAAGGAAAGGAAAATAGAATTATCAGAAAATAAATCAATAGAAGTCAATTTGGTAAATCAGGAATTTTAATTACCAATTTTCTCCTATAAACTGTTAAAACATTAGCTTACACAATAGTACTACACTATTAAACCACTGCCTGAATAAAGGGTTTTTCTTCTTTTTTCTTTTTTTCTTTTTGGGTCACACCCAGCAATGCACAAAGGTTACTCCTGGCTCATGCACTGAGGAATTCCTCCTGACAATGCTCGGGGAACCATATGGGATGCTGGGAATTTAACCCAGGTCAGCTGCATGCAGAGCAAACGCCCTACCTGCTGTGCTTATTGCTCCAGCCCCAGAGTGCTTATTTTAACAACTGATTTAGAAGGGAATTTAACACACATACACACACACACATGTGTTTTGTGTGTATATATACATGTATGTTCATATACACATTAAGTCCTGACATGAGAGCCCTCAACTGGTGAAATCATTCCAAAGTGTTTCTTAGCACATCTAGCAAGAATCAGAAAGATGCTGACCACCTGGCCCTGTAGCTCCCTAATGGTGTGTGCCTGGGCTGCACATCTCCCCTGGTACTGCTGCAGACTCTCCTGACACTCCTGAAGTCTCTGTTTGGCCGCGGCCAGGGAAGTGCGGACGTGCTCTAACTCCTTCAGATGAGACTCCTTCTGGCCTCTCATCTACATTGTGGCATCAGGAAATAAGTACAAGATCACACATTCAACATTAATGTTTTCACCCTCTTAAAAATCAGATATGCCTGTAGTATTTTAGCTACAATGCTTTTTAAATAGATCCCACCAATATGAACAAGAACTTAAAAGACTACTTTATGAAAGACTGTAATTCAAAAGCTAACTTAGGAAGTATTTGTACTGCTGAGAAAGAATAACCAAACATAGAACATTTTGGATGTTCACAGAAAGGAAAATGAAAATTAGACTCTGCCTGAGACACGGAACGCCAAGAGCTACTGTGCTGCATCTGGAATTCTTGATCACAAAGGAGACTAGAACAAAGCACAGCTCTGGGTCCATGAGAAAACCAGAAGACTAAGAAAAGGAGAAAAGGAGGGAAAATTCATTAAAAAACAAATCTTTCTGGTTTAATATCAGGAGAAAACAGCATGACCTCACAGTATCTAAAAACATAGATGCATGCCCCAAGTGCCCTTTGACTTATTTTCCTTGACAGTATTCCCAAGTATAAGAGACACATGCATGGTTATGCCTCAGGAGAAAAAGACCAAAACATATAGAATACTTCTCTGGCCCCTCTAGTGTGCTAAAAATTGGTAAAAAGTGATTCTAAGAAAGCAGTAAATTGCATGCTTGGTGGGCTATCTCTGTTGTTGAAGGAAGGATGACTGGTCCTTTTCATATTATTGTCTCTCTCTATCAGTCCCCCTATCTCGGGCAAACCAAAATCACCTGATTACACTTGACTGAAACTGTCCACTACCATGCCGTGATCTAGCCAGTTGGGTGACAGTACTTTGCAACTTACCACTTCCTTACCAAAATAATATGAAAAGACCACCCCTCCCCCCCAAAAAAAGAATGTGCTTTAAGAACTCAAAAATATTCACAAAAACATCAGAATGTACCAATACTGGCCTTTCTTTCATTTTGTTGCAATAGGCTGAATAAAAAAAAAGATGCTGTTTTAAAAAAAAATTTCTCTTCAAAAATATCATTTAACATAGAATATTTAACTTACTTTTTAGACAGATTTACTATAAAAAAGGTGAGATTAAAAAAATGAGAGGTGTTCAAGGTTGCATATTTATGATTGATGAAGCTTGCTCATATCATTTTTTAAGGATACTTAAGACTGTTCTATCAAAAAATTAAATTCTTGTACAATTTTCCAAATCTTAAGAAAAATTGAAAAAACACTCACATAAATAACATTTCAAGCCTGGAAGAAACATTATTTCCTCAGAAAAAAAACTTCTACAGAGATTGAGAGCAGATATTCCTAAGTATGATCTATCAAAAAATGACTAAAGTGAAAGAATCCATATAATAGCATAAAACACAAATAATTTACTACTTGAAATTTAGAACTTACTTTCCCTAATTTTTTAGTTTTGCTTTTTGTTATTCTTTTTTTTTCATGTAACAAATTTTCAAATCTACTTTTCACCATTCCAGCTGCTTCTTGCAACTTTTGCATCTAAAAATAAAAGTAATACAATATTTTATTATTATGACTTTGTATCTAAAAATAAAAGTAATACAATATTTTATTATTATGACTGAAGAATGCAATAAAAGCTAAAATTTTGAGTTTTCAATTTTGTCAATATCTTAATATGCATATATAATGTTATTCCTTCTAAGATTATGAAAATCAATAAAGTTTTTACTCTAAACAACAATCCTTTTATAGTTTATCTAGCTTTTCCCATAACAACGTTCATTCCTCATTTGAGCTGAATATGATGGAGACCTTCAGTTTCAGGTCAAGTTTTCTGTAATGAGTAGTGAATAAACCTGTTTAAATTCCAATTCCTTTATTATTTCAATTATTTTATTCCCTCTCAATCAAAAAATAAAAATTCAGCTCAAAAATTTTATAATTTTTTTTTATAAAAGGCCCAGAGTCTAGAATATAATCACTTATCTGGGTCTCCAGTGGGTTAATTGTCTTCAAAAAGAATATAATTGATGTGTTATTGCAACTCAAAAAAATAAAAAGTGGGAAAATTTTGATGGGAAAATATAGATTTTTAATTAAAGATTTTTTTCCCTACAATCCACCACCTATTTTAATTAAAAAATTTTATCCTATAATCCACCGCATCTTTCATTCTCTAACCTCTTGCCTAGATGCAATATTCTAACTAGATATCTCAGTTCCATTATCCGACTGAAATAGATGTAATTTCTTCTTACTTACCTACATATAGTAAGCCCTCCCTTCAGTTTCTAGCCTTATCTTATTTTTCTTCTTTGTTGGGGATTGAACCAAGGTCTCAGATACACAAGCTCTACTATGAAGCTATTCTATAATTCAAACTCTCTTTCAATGAAATCGGCTGGTTTATAACCCATAATTCAAGATCCTGCATAAATTCTTTCGCATAAAGTTTTTCCAATGCACATATAAAGTTTTAGAATACACTTATAAAACCTAAATTATAATTCGAAAATTATATAAATGTCACGTTCTGTACATATAGTTACTTACTCCAGGTTTTTAAGACAAAAAAATCTAAGTGCTACTTTATTTAATGGGGAGGGGGGTGGGATATTCGGCTTTAATGATCCTAGAAGACAGTCATTATTCTAAGTCAATACTGTTTAGTTACAAAAGATGACAAATATAAAGATTAATAAGACTATATATAAGATTTACATTATACCTATAAAATTAATTTTAAATCTGCATTACAAAATATGCAGCAAAACACAAGCAGTGTTTGAATTAAATAACAGCAGAAGGATCTAATCAGGATCTAATTATACTCGGGACCTTAAGAAATACCAGGGACATATACATATTCTATCACATAATAGCTCTAGCTTCTTTAGTTCTGCTTATTTAAACATAAAAAAATAGTTTCCTAATAAATTTAACAAAAATAAAAATAAATGCAAGTCACCTGAGTTTTATACTCTTCAATAAGAATCTTCTGTTGTTTTTCTACTTCTTGCAGTTCTAAAAGTTCATTTTCAACGGAAACAACCTCATCTTTCAAAGTAGAAAGTATAGTCTATTGAAGAATACATAAGTAGATTTTATAAATAATCAGGTCATTTGTACTATAGAGTTAGAGAATTATAAAGACAATTTATTTTCCCCCAAAGGTGAAATTATTTTTATGACATACAATAACCATGTAATTTCAAAATATTAGTAATATTTATTAATGATATTAATAAAGATATGCAAGAATCCTAAAAAAAGTTTTAAAAATACTGAAAAAAAGACATTTAAAATAGAATATTCATGTTCCTAGACAGAAAGTTCCAATACTATTAACATATCAAGTTTTTCCAAATTAATAAACTCCAGTGCAATTTTAATCTTGGGCTCTTACATTAAACTTCTTATCAGTTGGCTTAGCATGGCCAGGAGGGCTCCTTCCCCATAAAACTGACAACAGAAGGAATATATGATAAAATTAATTTAAAAATTATGTAAAAATAAATAGAAGAGATTAAGAGATAAAAATTCTTTTCTTCATGGAGCTTTCTCATAGAATATCCTCTTCTTACATGGAACACACCCAATGATAGGCCAAAACAAAAGGCAGATGGACTTAAAAGAAGAATAGGGACTGAAGAGAGGGTAGCGGGCAGATTGCTTGCCTGACTTCTAAAATTTTATAACATGAACATTTTTTTAAAAATAGACCTTTTTGTTAGTTTGGGGGCCACACCCATCAATGATCAGGACTTACTTCTGGCTCTGCAGTCAGAGATCATTCCTGGCAAGGCTCAGAGACCATACAGGGTGATGGGGATTGAACCCAGGTTGGCCAAGTGTAAGGCAGGCACTCAACCCTCTCTCCTATCACTCCAGCACTATTTAGTAATCCCTTTTAACCATATAAATCCACTTCTAGAAATATCTTAAGTAAACCAGTTGCTTAAAAAACAATTCAAAACTGTTAACCATGTTTTTGTTTGCAATAGTAAAATAAAATAGTTTCAAGTCCAAAAATTAAATATATACTCAAACTTTTGTTATATTTGTGATGTGTGTTTACAGGTGAATTGTTTTTTCTTTTGGGCTTTTTTGTTTCTCCAACTTTATATTAATAAATGAAAACAACTTTATACCTTCACTCATTTTTGTTTTGTTTTGCAGTGCTAAGGATTGAATACAGGTTCTCACACATACTTGACACATCCTCAGTCATAAATTTTATTACATAAGAAACAATAGGAAAATACAATAAGTTGTATAAAACAATGAGTATTTCTATTTGGCTACCATAGAAGACTAAAATCCTTAGTGACACAGCTAGGTAGTGTTATCATGTGCTTAAGCAAAGTGATGTGTGAAGCATTATTGAAATCTCCTTGAGGAGAGATTTAGAGATTTAAAAGAAATACACACACACACACACACACATACACACATACACACACACACACACACACACACACACACACACGAATCCCTTCTCCCTCTATCCTGTTGCTTGAAACCTGGCTATGATAGATGGAATCCTGGCAGCTATTTTGGATCATGAGGATGATTAAAGTCACAATCTTGGGATAGAAGAGTAGAGCATGAAAAAGATGCTGGGTTTTTTGATATCATACCAGCTTTTAATGGACAATTCTGGCTTTCTTTTACATAAACATTTCTTTCCTGAATTCTAATTTCTATCTTCCAAAAATAGTTTTATGAAACTAAAAAATGGTGCCATAATCTTTAGTCATTTTTGTTTGTACACATCTCTGCTTGGCTGAGAATTCAAATTTATTTAAATACTTTATATATTTAAATATACAAATACATTATATATAGTCAAAAAATAAAAGCTTCTTTCCAATCTTTTCCCTGGTACATACACAAACCTATCACCTCTTGGATTTGATTAAGTTGGAAAATTCTTTCTGGTTATGAAGCAGCCAAGGACATACTTTTTGGTTTCAGACAAACCAAGCCTGAAGTTATATCCTATCGTTACCATGACACCTAGAGAAAAACTTATGCATTAAAGTTAATATAATTTGATGATTCATTAAGCTACTAAAATTGGACAGTAAATAAAAATTTTAAATTGATACAGAGAGACAGTTATTCAACTTCATAAAGCCATTTCATACTGTTAAAAGCAATGGCAGATATTCTGTATATACAACTATAAGATTTAAATGTCTACAAATATGTATACATGTAAAATACAAATATACAGAAGTTACCTCTTTTAGAAGTTACCTTTTATGACAGTTTATTTCTTTGAGAAGCACAAAGTAATAAAAGAATACTAATCTAACCCTGCTCTTATTTCAATCTGCTTCTAAGTAAAATTATACAGATACAATCACATAGTACCTCTAATTTTGTGTTCTCAAGAGTCAAAGTTTCCTTTTCATGTTCAATTGAGTTAAGTTTTCTAAGAATTTCTTCACATGAGTTTTTTCCATCATTTTCCATTTTCTTAATGTCTTCCAAAAGATTAGTAATTTGCCTTTAAAAAACAAATTTTGTATATCATTTTTCAAAATCATAGAAATTTTTACTCAAATACTAACACGTAGAGTTCACTATTTGAAAAAATTACTAGAATTACTAGAACAAAGGAAACAGAATGCTGTACTCTGTATGGTCACTACCGGTATACCTTAATTTTTTTAAAAAAAGTATACTTATTGTTAAAAGTTACATGTTACTGCTTTATACTTGCAATACTACTTTACCATTCCCACCACCAGAATGCCAATAACCCTCCATCAAAGTCCAGAGGTCCCTTTCTCATCAGCCATCTTAGCAACGTCAGTTCAGCTATTCTCTCGGCAACTCAGGGTTAACTCAAGATTCCCCAAGTCCACCAGGAGTGAGCCCTGAGTGCAGAAGCAGGAGTAAACCCTAAGCACTGCTGGGTATAGACCCCAAACCAAAACAAACCAAAGCAAACAAACAAGCAAACTTATCACTTCCCTTAATATAATACCCGACAGTTCCATACAGGTTGAAGCAAACTACGTGATTTCAAATTTCTCACAGTTGATTAGTACTCCATTGTGTATATATACCACAATTTCATTCTTCACTCACTTGTTGTTGGGAATTGGATTTCCAGGTCTACACTATTATGAATAATGTTGGAATTAACATAGATCTGCATGTATCATTACAGACTAGTGTTTTAGAGTTTTGCAGTAGATGCCTAGGAGGGAAATTGCTGGGTCATTCAGAAGTTCTAATCTAAAAATACTGTAGTCTCCACAGTATTTTTCACAGTAACTAACCCAGATACCAGTCTCACCAAAAGTGAATAAGAGTCCCTTTTTAAACCACTCCCTGCCAACACTGGTTGTTTACATTCTCTCTGATGTCAGCTATTCTCTCTGGTGTGAGATTATATCTCATTCGTGATTTTGATTTGCATTTTCCTGATATTCAGTGAGAATGAACATGTGCCCCTAGTCCTGCTATCCACTTATCTGTCCTCTTTGAAGAAGTATCTATGCAGTTTCACTATTTTTGTTGGAGTTATTCTTTTGTTATTAATTTGTGGGTGCTTTACATATCTTTGAAGTTAATACTTTATCAAATGTATAATGTGAAAATTTTTCATGCATTCAGAAAGATGCCATTTTTATTTAATCATCATTTCTTTCACTATGCAGAAGCTTCCAACTATGAAAGTGTCACTTGTTTTTTGTTTTGTTTTCTTTGCCAGTGGAGTTGTCTTATTGAAGACTCTTCTGAGGTCAGTATCATGGAAAGTATTGCCTATGTTTTCTTCAATGTATTTAATAAAAATCAAAGTCCTCAATCCAGTTTGAATTAACCTGTATGTATGGTGAGATAGAGCTTTCTTTCCTTCTTTCTTTCTTTCTTTCTGCAAGTAGTTAACCACTTTTCCTAGCACTATTAGTTGAAAAGAATTTTCTTTTCTATCCATATACTTAGCTCCACTGTCATACATAGATCAATTGTCCATACATCTAAGAATTTACCTCTGAACTTTCAATTCAGTTCTATTCATCTGAAAGTCTGTCTTAATTCCTGCACCATGTATTTTTGATTACTATAACATTGCAGTATAAAATCATGGAATACAATTCCTCCTATCATCTTTTCCTTGGGAATTTTATGGCTATTCCAATAGTTTTATGGTTCCATACAAATTTCTGAAGCGTTATTCCTATGTCCTTGAAGAATGTGTCGGAAATTTTGATGGTATTGCATTGAATCCATAAATTACTATGGGTAGAACTGTAGCACTGTCCTCCCATTGATTTGCTCGAGCAGGCCCAGTAACGTCTCCATCATGAGACTTGTTGTTACTGTGTTTGGCATATTAAACACATCATGGGTAGCTTGCCAGGCATTGCCATGCAGGCAAGATACTCTCGGTAGCTTGCCGGGCTCTCTCAGAGGAGTGAAAGAATAGAACTCAGGAAGGCCATTTTAATTTTTCCAAGGCTATGTTTGCATTTATTTTTGTTTTCCTTTATTTCTTTCAGTAGTGATTTAGAGTTTCCACCAAATAGGTGTTTTGTTTCCTTGGTTAAGTTGATTTTGAAACGACTTTTTTAGGGTACAATCATAAATGGATTTTTAAGAAATACTTTTATTTTCTTTTTGCACCTTTTACATATGATGTAAAGTAAAAGGCCCTCCCGTTGATCATCGATTTGCTCGAGCGGGCCCAGTAACGTCTCCATTGGAGACTTTGTTGTTACTGTGTCTGGCATATCGAATACTCTCGGTAGCTTGCCGGGCTCTCCGAGAGGGGAGATGCAACAGATTTATGTGCAATATTTATCTATTGATAGTGTTTACTAAAAAAATTATATAACATCCAAATTATCACCCACAGGAATGTCTGTCTTTAATTTTCAAGTGTGCCCTCACAGAGATAAATCTTAGGAACAAGATTAAATACAGGGATTCAGAGAGACAATAATAACTCACATTTAGAAACAAATTTTATGACAGTTTTAAATAACAAAATAGAAGAGACTATATAGAAAATAAAATGGAAAAAATCAAGGCTAATTATTGCTAGATTATCAATAATAGTAAATTTCAAATGATAAAATATATGATTTTTACTCAATTTTCTTTTTGTCTATTTAATGCATTTTAAAGAACAGTACTTTTAGGGCTTTGAAACCTTTTAATACTTTTATTATAAAATTTTTAATGTGTCCTTACACATTCTTGCTTAGAACACTTATCACTTTCAATTTAAGCAAAAGTTAATGTTAACATCTTACTGTAAATAAGAGGTGATACATGCTCAAATACCAAATATTGACCAATTTCAAAATTTTCTGCTAGCAGCACTAATATGCTTTAATTTTTTTATTTTTTAGGACTAATATACTTTTAAAGGATAATCATTTTATTTTGTTTTAATAGAGGAATTTTAAATGTTTATAGAATTAAAAATATCAAAAATTATCAAATAATATACACATTACCTTAAAACACATGTAATAGAGGATAACCAAAATATAAAACACTAAGAATAGAACTAAAAACACATTTTATTAAAAGATTCTAAGTTTTTTCTTACTTTTTCATTGTTTCAATATGAACTTCCAGTTCAGTTTTTTCTATTACAATTTTCTCATAACGACTTTTCCAGGTATTGGAAGCTGAAATTGTTTCAGACAACTTGGCATCCTAAAAATACATAAAGCATTCATCTTGTAATTTAATAACACTTTGGTTTTGTTCAGGATCCTAAACACAAATGCACTAATAAATAAGGAAATGCATCCTATAAAGCATGGAAATTGTATTTTAAATAATTTCAGTGCCCAAATATAAATACAGAAAAATTTTAACAAATGTACTACTTTTTATGTACAATTTAGGCAATTCAAAGTTATAGGACACTGAGGTAACTATTTTCAAACAATCCATCATAATTAGTGAAATAATTCTTTTTTCCATCTGCTTAATTTTTATTTTGCATTCAACAGAGATTAAAAACCACATTAGTATTAGAAAAGAAAAATGCTCTCTGTCATTTATATGTGTGTATGTGTCTATATGTATATATGTATGTGTATATATATGTACATATATATAATAGAGAGAAAGAGAAACTACCAGAAATCACACAATTTCACGGCATTTAATAATGCACTCTTAGTTATTTTTGTTATGATGATGCCAACGTGTTTTGGAAAGGTCACCTCGGTCAGCCTTCAAACATTGTTAGGGTCAGAAAAAGGATGAAAGTGGGACTGATGGAGAAAAAGGATGAAAGTGGGACTGATGGCTTCTCTATTTTGAGAGCTTTAGGTGAAAGAGATTTTTAACTTTTTTGTCCATTAACAGGACCATGAATAGTGCCTGGCACAGGACAGACCCTCAAAAAATAACTGTCTAAGAATCTATTATTAGCATGTTTATCTAAAAAGCTATAGCCATTGTGCCCCCTATCTGCCTTCCATAGAAAAGTAAACTCACAGGAATGCCAATCATTAATTGCTAATTTTATGTAAAATAAATTTTAACATAAATGATAAAGTATAAACTGGGTCACTGTCACTGTTACACAGGCAATCTGGCACCCCATTTGGCTACCTAAATCCTGCCAGGAGGGATCTATGAGCACAGAAGTAAGCCCTGCCTATAGTTGAATGTAGCCCAAATGTACTTCCCCCCTCAAATTAAAAGTTTATCCTAGAAAAACTGAACGTGAGTACCAGAGAAATCCTCCAACAGATATTAAGAACAATAAAATGGTACCAATATGCCAACTGAATGAACCTGTAAGACTAACTCTGGCTAAATTATCTACGATGATTTGTATTGATGTCAAAGTCAGGTACCTAATCTAGAGGAACAATATTAGAAATAACCAGGGAACAAAATTTAATATCAGACATAGATTCAATGAGAGCACTGAAACAGCCAACTTCTTATGTTCTCAAAAATGTTACTGTGAAAGTTCTACATTTTGCAACTTACCATGACGCTGATAAAATGATCTAAACTATACAAAAGTTGGGGCCAGAGAGGCCAGAGTGAAAGAATACCAGGTAAGGCACTTGTCTTTCATCCTGCTAAACTGGGTTAGATCCCCAGCAACCATATGATCCCCTGAGCACTGCCAGGAATAATTCCTGAGTTCAGAGATAGGAATAAGCCTTGATTACTGCCAAGTATGGCCCAACATTACCCCTTCACACACATATACACTTGACACTTGGGGCCAAAGAGATAGTACAATTAGTAGAAGGGTTGCACAAGCCTGACCAGGGTTTGACTCCCAAAGCCCTACCAGGAGTGATTCCAGAGCACAGAAACAAGAGTAGTCCCTGAGCACCAGAGTGTGATTCAAAAACCAAAACAAAACAACTTAAACAAAAGTACTGGTACTGTGATTACTCTAAGGTCACAAAGGTGGTTTGTGACTAGTGTTTGAGTTCTCAAACCCATATATTTGGAGAGATCACTGAAGTATTAGAAGGGTCATTCCTACCACCTACTGGACCATTTGAGCACTAACAAATGAATTTCATTCAATTGCTTCCCACAATGGGTCATGAATATATTCTTATTTGTTTGTATATTTTCAGGATGGGTTGAAGCCTTCCCATACGGAAAGGCTGATGCCAAAACCATGTTTAAAAACTTTGATTAATACATATTTTAGGCAATTGAGCCAAATCCAGTTGTGCTCAGGGCTTATTTATGGCTCTGTGTTCAGGGAGCACTTCTGGCAGTGCTTGGGAAACGATGTGCAATGCAGGGGATAGAACCTAGGCCGGCACATATAAAGTAGGTTCTCTTTTGAACTTTTTCCAGCTCCTAATAAACTATTCTCTTAAAAGGGTATTCCCAGGGCTGGAGTGATAGCACAGCGGGTAGGGCATTTGCCTTGCACGCGGCCCGACCCGGGTTCAATCCCCAGCATCCCATATGGCCCCTGAGCACGGCCAGGAGTAGTTCCTGAGTGCATGAACCAGGAGTAACTCCTGATCATCACCAGGTGTGACCCAAAAAGCAAAAAAAAAAAGAAAAAAGAAAAAAGAAAAAAAAGGGTATTCCCAGAGAAATCTCTAGTGATAGGGAAACAATCACCAGGGAAACATATCACCCAGTAAGGTTGGAAAAAGTATTTTTATCCAATGGCAATGCCAACACAATAGCATTGCCATTGTCCTTACAGGTTGCAGTCACCTGATAAAGTCAGATGGACAAATATAAGGTAAAGGTAAGGTAAAGGCCCTCCCGTTGATCGTCGATTTGCTCGAGCGGGCCCAGTAACGTCTCCATTGGAGACTTTGTTGTTACTGTGTCTGGCATATCGAATACTCTCGGTAGCTTGCCAGGCTCTCCGAGAGGGGCGGAGGAATCGAACTCGGGTCGGCCATGTTGGCCGCTTGTAAGGCGAACGCCCTACCCGCTGTGCTGGACAAATAGTAATAAAAAATTAAAACTGCATTAACAGAATCAACTAGACTGTACTGGTCCAAAGTCCTACTATTGATTTTGTTCAACATGCACATGAAAGTATAATTTAATGCCTTATGAAATAATAGCAGAAGTCCAATGCCTTTTATGACAGAACCAGTTGTGCCTCCTGTATTCTTAAGTTCTGATAAGATTTACATGGCAAAATTTTAATGCATTATTATAAAACATAACATAAAATTTTTTTTGTTTTGTTTTTGGGTCACACCTGGTGATGCACAGGGGTTACTCCTGGGCTCTGCACTCAGGAGTTATTCCTGGCGGTGATCAGGGGACCATATGGGATGCTGGTAATCGAACCCGGGTCAGCCGCATGCAAGGCAAACGCCCTACCCGCTGTGCTATCTCTCCAGCCCCTATAACATAAAAAATTTTATGCTTCTCCCGAAAAGGGGCATAAAATGAAGTCCCCATAACCATGCCACCGGACTCCACGCGAGGCTGGTTTCACCCAGGGCGCCCTGAAGAGTGGCAGGTGAGAGCCCTCCCTGCCCCAAGGGACTCAGCCCCGGAAGCAAACTTACCTCCACTACCCAACGCCGTCATGCTCCAGGCCACTTTCCACACACTAGGGCGAGCCTCACATATGAGTGAACATATTCCTGGACAGCGCAACACATCATAAGACACTCCCTACCCATTTTCCATAATTACAATACCATATTTGATGGGGTTCAGACTGTAGGCAACAAATCATAGAGGGAAATATATATTATATATAATATATGTATATACATATATATATACATATATATATATATATATATATATATATATATGAGAGCCTGGCAAACTACTGAGAGTATCCCGCCCACACAGCAGAGCCTGGCAAGCTCCCTGTGGCATATTTTATATGCCAAAAACAGTAACAATAACAGGTATCATTCTCTTGATCCTAAAAGAGCCTCCAATACGGAAGTTCATTGGGAAAGACAAGTAAGGTGAGGCTGCTAAAATCGCAGGGCTGGGACGAATGGAGACATTAATGGCACCCGCTCGAGTAAATCGATAAACAATGGGATGAACAGTGATACAGTAATTATAAAACATAGCTACACCAAGTAAAGGAAGATTTCGTTGTTTTGTTCTGGTTTCTGGGTCACAAATAGCAGTGCTCAGGGCTTATTCCTGACTCTGAAGGATCACTTCTGGCTGGGTATTGAACCCGGGTGGACTGCGTGCAAGACAAGCACCCTACCTACTATCTTTCCAGCCCCAGAATAAAAGAAGATTACTGTGACCCTCCTACTCAATTCTTTCATTATATAGGATTGGAGATTGGTTCTTCTGCAAATGACTCTGGGAAAGACTGCCATGAACTTCATTGAAAGGAATAAAACCAACCCTTTCACATCACAACCCAGAGGGCAGTCAAACATCATGGTTTTGAACTTAGGTTCTACATCTTCCAGTTGAAATGGGTTCCTCAAGTCTCTTGAAACTCCTACCAGCAGGAAACCTAAAGTCAAATTTAACCAAAGATATACCTTCCAAAACCAGAAGCCCACTTGAGGTGGACAGCTCTCCTAGAACCTTAGATCTTCAGATTCAATGTAAAATTCTTATCCCGTTTGCCTGCTCTGTATCTCTCTCTCTCTTTTTTTTTATTCCATGAATGCATGTGAAGTTATTACTATAATTAGGATTCACAAATCCTGGTTACCACAGGAAACTAAACTGCTGAATTTGTCATCTGAAAGCAAAAGCAGCACACTTGGTGAGACTTTTTTTTTAATTAATTTCTTTTTTATTTTTAAGATGTTTGTAGTCTTAAAATACACTGTGATACAGATACTTACAAAGCTGTTCATGATTAAGTTTCAGTCATACAGTGTTCCAACACCTATCCCTCCAACATGGTGAGATTCTTGATTTAACTCTATAAATAGTTTTACTAGAACCCCCAACACCATTTACCGCCTAAATTGTTCCATAGATAACCTTTATAAAGTTAAAATACTAAATCTGCATACCCTGTCACTTGCTTCAGTTTAACTTAAACCCGAGAATGGGAAAAAGGAAATTCACTAAGTACAATCTAAAAGACACTGCCCAGCAGTCAGTATAAACCTTGATATCAAACACATATATTTAGTCTCTCATGAGGTGGTAATAGAGATTGGGGTCTTCATTTAATGATATAAATGTCTTTATACTGTCATATGGGTCCATAAATGTTTATACTTACAAAG